AGTTCTGTCCACTATCTGACTCACTATGAATTATGTAGAAACTTCTGCTATTTCAGACTGAAATTTTTTTATAAATGTACATGAGAATCAAAATTGCCTCTTGAGCATAGCATTAAGGAAGCAGAATATATCAACTCTCTTTTGATTGAAATTTAACTGAATGTGTTGTTCTACATTACATCTGTATTGAATAGAGATTACACTGCAAGTGTCTCTACTTTAGTTGCATCTCTTTCTCCAACACAGCCTTGCCAATACAATTCAGAAGCCCATTTTGCAAGGTCCTGACATCACCTTGTATGTGGATATGTTGGTAATGTAAGATAATTTTGGATAATTAAGAGCCCCATTAACAGTGGAAAAGAACAGCATAACTATAAGAATAACAGAGGGTTCTGGAGCATGATAAAGAGTGGCAACATGGGAGCAGAGTTTGAATGCAGTGGGGAGGAAAAGAAAAGGTAAAAGGGTTTAGCTGTAAAAGTTAAGGATTATTAGTCAAAAAGGGAAGAAGGATGCAGAAAATCAGAAAACACTAATGGAACAATGCTGTGGGTTTGCTTAGAAAAGGGGTGAATTAAATACAAGGTGTTTGACCTTTTTAGGTATTGTTTCAATTCACATTATTTGAGTGCTAATTTACCAACTGTATGTCAATATCTATGCTAAAAATAAATCACACTTATGAGGTGGTATGCCTGGAGGCATATAGCCCTTTTTGGTTGATTACATTGGGTAGGGAAAGGGTAAAGTCCTACAGAGTTGATAAAAGACTATCTAATAGGAAGTATTTTTTATGTTAGATATACATTAGTTTCCTAGGGTTGCTGTAACAAGGTACCACAAACAAGGTAACTTAAAACAACAGAAATTTATTTTCTCACAGTCCTGAAAACCAAATTCCAAAATCAAAGTGTTGAAATTATGTTAACAACAGATACATATTCAAAGATCATATTTTCATATAAGGTGCTAGGGTAAGGACTTTAATGTATCTTTTGTTGTTGTTGGTAAGTGCTGTCAAGTCGATTCTAACCCATACTGACCTGGTATAGGGTTTCTGAAGAGCCTCTCGTATGCTTGAACTGCCGAACTTGCTGTTCAAACTGGTTTTGCAGTCCAGCGCATTAACACACGGGACTCCAACATATAGTCTGGTGGTGTTGTTCTTAAGTGCCGTTGAGTTAGTTCTGACTCAAAGCAACTCTGTGTAGGGTTTCTGAGGAGCAGCTGATGGGTTTAAACCACCGACCCTGTGGTTCAAACTGATCTTGCAGTCCAGCGCATTATCCTGCAGCGCCACGCCAGGTCTCCAGCATATCTTTTGGTGGTGGTTATGTACTATGGAGTCGGAACTGACTCATAGCTATCCTGTACAGGGTTTCTGAGGCTGCAAATCTTTACGGGAGCAGAAAGCCTAATCTTTCTCCCACAGAACAGCTGGTAGTTTCGAACTGCTGACCTTAAGGTTCGCAGCCCAATTCTTAACCAATACGCTACCAGAGCTCCTTAACATATCTTTTGTTGTTGTTGTTAAGTGCCGTCGAGTCGGTTCCGACCCATAGCGACCCTGTACAGGGTTTCCAAGGGTGTAAATCTTTACGGGAGTAGAAAGCCTCATCTTTCTCCCGCGGAGCGGCTGGTAGTTTCGAACCGCTAACCTTAAGGTTCGCAGCCCGATTCGTAACCACTACGCTAACATATCTTTTAGGGGAACACAATTCAATTCATAGAAGATTGGTTTGGCCTGTTTAATTTCTGAATTTAATGGGAAATCAGTAACAAGTGACCAAACAACATCCTAGCCCCTCATGATATACTAGAAAGGCAATGATTATTTTTGTCACAGAAGGTATGTGATGTCCATCCAAACAATATCAGTCTTTGGAACGCGTTCTATATGTTTTGCTAAGGGTCGTGTGTGAGTGTTGCATAGCATTGATACCCTCTGTAGGAAAAGATTTGTGGTTGAGAGCAGTGTAAGGACACAGCATCATTCTGACACATAGTGACCTTATAGGACTTCTGAGGCTATAAATCTTTACAGTAGCAGAAAGCCTCATCTTTCTCGCAAGAAGTTTGAACAGTCCAGTGCTTATCCAACATTACCACCTATCTACTATTTATGGCATATGTTTTTGTGGTCGTTGTTAAGTGCCTTTGAGTTGGTCCTGACTCACAGCGACCCTATTTAAGGTTTCTAAGCAGCAGCTAGTGAGTTTGAACCACTAACTTCATGGTTTAGACCAAAATTGTGGTCCAGTGTGTATTCTGTGTCACTTTAGGACTTCGTTTATGGCATATAGTACCTGCCAAAGCTAAAATTGCTCTAGAATTGGTTATCTCATTTTTTTCTCTCAAAATTGTCCCTTTGAGATAAAAATTATTTTAGAATATCCTAAGTTTATGCATTAAGGAAACAGTTCAATACATTAACTTATTTGTTCAATCTGGAAGAGTAAATTTACATATAGTGACAGTTCCCTAAATGTATAATTAATGTGTTTCTTTATTATAAGAACTTAATTATCATGACAAAACTATTATTTTCCAACACAGAATCCACTTATTAGGCATGCTCAATAATTCTAAATCAGAAAGCATCCTATACTTCTAATCCTGATCTAATTTATTGTCTTCATGTCCCCAGTGGAAAAAATAAAGCCTACAGGAGTAAGCTGGCTGAGAAGTCCTAGGTCAGGAGGGACTGGAGGCTAAAAATTGACTTTCTGACTTCGGATTCCAATATGGTAATTAATGGAGAAAAGTGGGACATGATGCCTACATTAAGGAAAAGGGCCAATGTTATCCCTCACTCATCTATCCTCTTTGGAAACAAAAGATAAAAATCATAATGGAATTTCAAATGCTATGTAATGGAACTGTTTTCCTTTCCAGACTTTGGGTTTCTGAAATACATGCTAACTTCCTGCTGACTTCTCTTTACATGCTTTCATCACTCAAACATTTATAGATTGAAAAAAGTAGTCTCACTTACAAATGCATTTTGCTCTTGGTAATGAAAATTTTTTCATTCTTAAAAAATGAAATATAGTTAAGCTTAGTCTGCAAAAACAAGGAAATGCTAGATACAGAATTTAAAATAGGGTTTTAGTCATGTGGAAGAAAAGAAGGAAATAAGAAAAAATTTTAAATTTAATATCTGTTTAGCATACAAAAGTTAATATTAGCATATTGAATGCATTAGGCCAAATTAAAATATTAAAAAAGGGAAAAATGTAAATGAATTTCCAAAAAGAATAAATCAGCATTTCCAGACCTTTGACAAATGAAACATACCAAGCTATAAGATCATTTGTTGTTATTGCTGGTAAGTGCTGTGGAGTCTATTCCGACCCATAGGAACCCTGTATAAGGTTTCCAGGCAGCAGCTGGTGAGCTTGAACTGCTGACCTTGCAGCTCAATCTGATTTTGTAGTCCAGCACATTAACCCACTACCAATATCATAAAATGGTTAAATACTTAAATATAATGAGGAAAATGTTATTTGATTATTGACCTATTATTGATTATTATTAGAATGTCAGGGGTGAGGATTATGGAATATAGAAGCCATAAATGTTGACTGGTTCCTGTACTCTTCCCACCTCCCTTTTATCAACCTCAAAACTATTGTTCTGGAATGAGTTTAAGAAAATGCTATGTAAAATAGGTAAAGACAAACTTCCTGGTGTTGATTTTCTCTAACATTTGATATGTACTATTGTGTTTATAAAGAGCTCTGGTAGCGTAGTGATTACGAATCGGGCTGCAAATAGCAAGGTCAGTAGTTGAAACTACCAGCTGTTCCTCTAGAGAAAGATGAGGCTTTCTGTTCCCATAAAGATTTACAGCCTTGGAAACCCTTTACAGGGCTGCTATGAGTCAGACCAACTCCATGGCACATAACCACCACCATCGTGTCTATAAACCATATTAACTGTATGTAGTAGATAAATTAATTAAATGCAAACAAACCAAGTTTGTTTTTCAACAAATAATGATGTCAGCCTTGCTTAATTGAATTAAATATGTCTGTAAAAGTTCAAAAAAAGATGAAAAATCAATTACACATCAAAATAATTTTTGAAATACAATATGTAAATGGAAAATGGTGATAATTGCCAATCGTGATGAACACATTTAATTCCGCTATTTTAAATGTATGAAGTATATCAAAAGGGCAGAGTTTTTGTTGAATTGGGCCAATTTTAGAATGTCTAAAGAGAAACAGTGGTGATAAATCAGAGAAGAGCTGATGCTGAGTACTTCCTTTGCCATTACTGAGTGTAGCCTGCAGTTGAATGAGTGCTGTGTTTAAAGTAGAGGGGTGACTAATGTAACTTGATCTCTATTTTGACTCCATCCAAATTTGTTTATTCCTCAGACCTCTTGGTGGTGGTGGTGTGCAGTGGAGTCAGTTCTGACTCATAGCAATGCTGCATAGGGTTACAGAGGCTGTAGATCTTTATAGGAGCAGAAAGCCTTACCTTTCTCCCATGAAAAAGCTGGTAGTTTCAAACTGCTGACCTTGAGGTTAGCAGCCCTATTTGTAACCTCTATGCTATCCCTTACATATTTCAAAACATGATCACACCCTCAACTTTCCAAATCCCATGTATATCCAGATAGTTGCTGGCATGTGAGTGTTTGCAGGGAAAGCATATTCAAATCCAAAGCTGAAAAGCCTACATCCTTAAGCTCAAGCCTCTTATAGTAGAGGAGAGTACTTAAATGATGCAAATGGTTAATATGCTTAGCAATTAACTGAGAAGTTGGAAGTTGAACTATACTCTGAGACTCCTTTGAAGAAAGACCTGGTTACCTACTTCAAAAAAACAGACAAACAAACAAACAAAAACACCCATTAAAACTTTAGGGAGCACAGGTCTATTTGACAAACATGAGGTAACCAAAAGTCAGAATTCATGTTTCAGAAACTCTTTTTGGTCCCCTCCCCCTCCCCCTCCTTGTGTTTTCAGCTGCAGAGGCACATTACTTAGAAAGCATTTACTCTTCCTGAGGAGAAACACCTTCCCAGGGCCTTCTGTAACGCTCCTGTGACATCCTTATTCCTGAGGCTGTAGATAAGTGGGTTGAGCATAGGAGTGAGGATGGTGTAGAAGGCTGATACAGCCTTGTCCTGCTCAGGGGTGTGGTAAGAGTGAGGCAATACATAAGTGTACATAGCAGCTCCATAGAAGAGACTGACCACCACCATGTGTGAGGAGCAGGTAGCCACTGCCTTCCGCCTCCCCTCTGCCTCATTCATCCTATAAACAGTGATGAGAATCCTGGTATAAGAAGCAGAGATGACAGAGAAAGGGATGAGGAGCATCATGATGCAGCAGACATACATGGCTGTCTCATAGGCTGATGTGTCTGTACAGGATAGCTTTAGAAGGGCAGGTACCTCACAAAAGAAGTGGTTAATTTCTCGAGATGCACAAAAGGGGAACTGCATGGTGACTGGAGTGAGCAGGAAGCCATCAACAGACCCTCCTAGCCAGGCTGCCACCACAATAAACAAACAAACCTTGCGGTTCATGAGTACAGGATAACGCAAAGGGTTGCAGATGGCCACATAGCGGTCATAAGACATGAGTCCTAGGAGAAAGAACTCAGCACCTGCCAAGGTTAAGTAAAGGAAGTGCTGGGCAGTGCACCCAGCAAAGGAAATGGCCTTCTGACCCACAACCTGGTCAACCAGCATCTTGGGTACAATGGTGGAAATGTATAGGATGTCCATAAGGGAGAGTTGGCTGAGCAGGAAATACATAGGGGTGTGGAGGCGGGAGTCCACCTGGATAAGAATGATCATGAGGGTGTTGCTGACTATGGAGATCACAAAGACAAGGAGGATAAGGGCAAAGAGAAGCCAGGGAAAGTGAGTATTGCTGAACAAGCCGAGGAGGACAAAGTCTGCATACATGGAATAATTCCCCCACTCCATAGCTCTGTAGGCTGCACAAAAGAAAAATAGGTAGGATAAAATTCAGCACAAAAGAAAATCATCTGGTTTGCTTAAAGCATTATGATGAAGGCATTCACAAATCATCGTTGGAGAAATTAATCATATCTCATTGTGAAATTCCCCTTTTTGCAATGCTCTCCATACTTGATTACAGTTAGTGGTTTGTTTTGACAAAACTTACTGTTACTTAGCATAACAGACTGAACAGAATTTCATTTTGGAGCATTGCATATTCATTCAGTGACCAAGTACCTGATTGACTGATTATCACCTCTTATGATGACTACTTTTTGTCTTTAGGTTCACTGGTATTTAAATATCTTTAGCATGGAATTCTTTATTCAAACACAATCATACACAAAAAAAGAAATACATGAAAATGTTAAAATGCAAGTAGCTTATTGAGCTGTGACAAAGCTCTAATTCTCACACTTAAACACCAGTTTGAGCACCACAGATCTAAAGCATATATTTTGCATAAGAAAGTGAAACTACAGCAATTGATTTTACCTAATTTTAATCATTTTTTATACATTTGTATATTATAAAGTTAAATGCTTAGCTTATGCTTAACATTGTTGTTATTAAGTGCTGTGTTGTTGGTTCAGACTCATAGCGACCTTTCATATGGCTTCCAAAGTGCAGCTAGTGAGTTTGTACCACCAATCCTGTGGGTCACACCAGCTTGCAGTTCAGTGTTTATCCTATAGCACCACACTAGGACTCCTTATACTTAATGCTGTTTTTGTTAAGTGCTGTTGAGTAGGTTTCAACTCATAGAGACCCTTTATGTGGTTTTCAAGGAGCAGCTGGTGACTTTGAACCACCTATATTGTGGTTCAAACTGACCATGCTGCCCTGTGCTTATCCTAGAGAGCCACATTTGAGAATAGTGATTCCATGTTATTGTTGTTGTTAAGTGCCGTTGAGTCTGTTCCAAATCACTGTGACTTGGTATGGGAGTGATAGATGAGTTTGAAGAAGAGTGATAGGTGAGTTTGAACCTCCTGATTTACAGTTCAAGGCTGGAGGAGGAGTGATAGGTGAGTTTGAACCTCTTGACTTACAGTTTAAACCGACCATGTGGTTGAGTAGCTTTTTTACAGTGCCTCACTAGTAATGCCATATTAAGGATAAAGTCACTGAAGATTTCTGAGCTCTAAGAATAGTCCAAAGAAGGCAACCAAAGAAAAATACTTTTAGAGTCAAGTGGTTTTTATTTTCTTTAAGTGGAAAACTACTTATTATTAACATGATTACATGATAAATGATAAAT